CATTAATTTATCCGTTTAAGGTCGCGAATCGTGACAACACGTTTGCATTTTCTGAGAGAAAAAAACATAAATGTATATTTTTTGTATACCATCAGAAAGTTGACGTTTCAAAGAACAAACAGAGCACTTTCTTTTTTTTTAAAGATACTTTTTTCTAAGGGACATTTTCGATTGAAAATAAGGTTACGATATAATATTAAAATAAGGAGAAAAATAAATGCTTTCTATAAAAAAAATGTGAAAATAAAAGATTTGTTGTGGGAGAAAATAATATTAAAAAAAAAATCTTTTATTTTGATTTATCGCAGATATTTTTAGGTTATGTGAAAAATGTATAAATACAAAGTTCAAAAGTATATTTTTTGATTAGGTACATACGAGTACAATTATGCCATTATATTTTTGATAGTAGTTAGTTTTAGTTCTTCCGGAAAACGTGATAAACCGTTTTCACTTCTTAAAATAAAATATAGTATCCTACTTTAATAGGGGATAAATACTATATTTCTAAAAAATATGTAGTAGGCGAAACTACTATATTTTGGTTAAAGCATATTTTTGACAGTAAAAGCTTTCATAAAAAATATTATAGATTGTTATTATAATATTAGTAAGGCAAAAAGCCCCAAAAATATATTTATTTCAAAAATAAAGTAAATATTATGCTGATGTCGATTCTGGCACGATTCTCTAAATCTAAACTTAAATTTGACAACAATGCATCCTTGCCATTCTCTATACAGAATGAAAGATTGATGTTAATTCTTCATCATGTGAGGTTCAATTTTTTTTAAAATGTAGTAGTTAGAACGTTTCCCCTTCCATCCTAAAATATTGAAAGAAACGTTTCCTATTAGGGAAACAAATGGTGGTATTCCCCTTATTCTCCGATCGATCTTCATTAGAAAACTCCTCCATGTTTACAACTGCGAAAACACCCCCCAATTTAAGTTTCTGGATCAACAGCTTCGAACGCGTCGAATGAGAAAGAGAGACTGTTGAATGACTGTCGATTGCGACTTTTTACAGATTAAAAGTTTATGAAGTGGTTTAATTTTTATATAAAAATGTAAAAAAACCCCCGTTTCCGCCAAAACAAAATTTCTTCCCCCATTAATCCCCCCTTTAAAAACCCCCCAAATTTGGGGTAACCCCCCACCAATCTGGAACAGTTCTCGCGTCCGCGTCTTGTATTATCTGCCTCCACTGTGGCCATCACCTGCTTTCCTCAAGCTGACATCTCACGAGCCTGTTTTCCGAGTCTGAATCTGCGTGCACTCTGGCCGTAGCCATATTCCTGACAAGGAACCCTTTTCGTTTCGTTATGTCCGTCTGTCCGTCCCCTTGAAGAGCGTTAGCACCAGAGAGCTGTAATTTTGTGGAGATATGTATATCAGGGGAGGGGGGAGATGGATGAGTAGCTCACCTATTATATGCCGACTGACTCCAATCAGATTCTAGGAAATGTTAACGGTATACAAAATCCAATCCAGTCCCCGTAGCATGTGCAACACAAAATACATTATTATTTTTATGTTTTTTATCACGCCTCTGTAAAACCACATGAGTAAAAAGACGTACAGAGACAATGCTTCATACAACCGCGCTGCGATCGTTTCACTACTGCAAGCAAAGCTTGCGTGTATGAGTGAGCACTGCCAGGCCAGTGCTCAAGTGCAGGGCTCACGTAACACTAGTACTAGTAGTAGTGGTATTTGTTTTCCACTCAGGATTTGAAATAATAAAAGTGTTAAAAAAGTGATTTACTGAACAGTGCATATAAAAATAATAGAACTATTAGAAACCCAAATAAAGAAAATTAAAGTAGTTAAAAATTCTTTCTAGTAAAATTTTCTTTAGATTTAAACATCTAGCTAAAAAATATAAATATATTTAATAAACATATATTTTTGTTAACTATCATAAGGAAACTAAGTACGTACTATGTACGTATGTACTACATAGTAACTTTACTACCCATGTGATATTTATGTTTTTTATGTGGATAATAGATAGGGTTACCTTTCATACAAACCTACTTCAACATCGAAAGAAATATTTTGTTATGTTATTGATGGTAATAATTAACTTTTTTATTGCGCGGGATAGGTTAGCAAGTATTTACCTACATATCATTACCATTGCAAGCGAATACAACTAGCGGCCATCCTAGAGTCACATAGACAGAGGCGGTCTGCGTCCGCGCCTCGCCTGTAATGGCCTGTATTGGTTATTCATGTTTGAACACTCGCTTACATAGCAAGCAAATAAATACAACTGGCCGCCACCCCAGCCGCAGCCACAGGCCGCCTCCATATTGACCTTTTATTTTTAAACTAGCGGCCGCCCGAGACTCCGCTTACATTTTTAGAGATAAAAAGTATCTTAAATTTCAAAAGGGTTGGCACAATAAAAAATCATCATTTTTTAATAAAAATCAATGATTTAATTTTACATTCCTTTAAAGAAATCAACAAAAAAACATACTACATACATACATTGTCACAGAAATCATTCAACAATTAAAATATTTTGATATTTTAAGTTGTTTATCGGTTAATGTTAAAATTCAATGTTATTATTAAAATGCTTAAATAAAAATACTAGTTTTCCAGCCTTTTCAATTCCTATCCGCGCGATGTAGTGGCATTTTTCTCCGAATTTTCGACAAAAAGGATTTGTGCCGTATCTTCCCACAGACACATTTTAGGTGTCAAAACTTAAACTTAAGGCTAAAATGCATGGAATTTAGTAATAACTCCATGGTAAAAAGTTACACTCAGTACGTAGGTTAGGGAACGCAGTCCAGCTAAAATCTCAATTGCGTGTTCCGTTTTACGTTAACGTTTTTTGTTCATTTATATGTTTGAGGCGTAAGCTTAAGTAGATAAAAACCTATCTGCGAACGATACAACCTTGGCAACTTTGTCAATAAAAATGAAATTTCAGTCATACATCGACTAACTTGATAAAACATTTCGCCTTTAAGAAGGCTAGAAAAGCAAGATTTTATTAGTATTTTCATTATATTCGTTGCCTCTTTTTAAGGGTCGCTTTAGCGACCAACTTCATGCGTTACTTTTGTGTTTACCGCATATTAAGAAAATCTACCAACAAAATAGAAATAGAATCTCTATTTAGTGGGTGCTAACGACTAAATTGTGAAGGACTATCAAAAGTATTTATTAATCTGGAACAACGGAACCAAAGCGCGATTCAGGAGACTACAGCGCCATCTCTTGACCATTGGTGTAGTAGAACCAAAAACCACATCTTTATTTTTTGTAATAAAGTAACAGTTATAGGTATTCATATTTATAATATCAAAAGTATTTATTAATCTGGAACAACGGAACCAAAGCGCGATTCAGGAGACTACAGAGCCATCTCTTGACCATTGGTGTAGTAGAACCAAAAACCACATCTTTATTTTTTGTAATAAAGTAACAGTTATAGGTATTCATATTTATAATATTTATCCACATGTTTCTAGTTTGTATATTCGGAATACGTGTTTGAATTTCATACAAGTGCAAATCACATATGTTCTAATAAATTATATTCAGTAGCGATTTTAATTGAATATTTTGATTATTTATTTATTTTTTCAAATTACAACTAAACTTTATTGACTGTGTCCTTTTCCAGACTTTTTATTAATTTATTGTAATTAATTATTTGCATGCAATTAAAAACTAATTTTAAACGATGCCAAAGAAGGACAACTTCTCACGCGCCTACATAAGTCCATTTTTTTAATGTTATAGAAAACCTAAAACTCTAACTTTTCCCAAACTTTGAATGGTATTATTTTACTAGTAAATTAAAGAGTAATGATAAAACTAATAATTGACGTTGAAATGTATAATCTTATTATCAGTCTGGTTACACCGGCTATTTAGAGATCAAAACTTTTTCAACCAGAGTAAAAGCGTTAAAAAAAGTTTTAAACTGGTTTATTTGTTTACCTTTGTCTCAGGGGAAGTTGAGTATAATAAAGCAAGACTGTATGACTTGTTTCTTTTGCCTTCCCAACGTAGAATTAAAACTATTATGACAGCAACAGTGACAGGGACAGCTGTTTTTTTTTCAGACTAATTCACCGCAGATCATTTTACTGTTTATAATTTTATTTCCATTAATTTTTCAAAAATCTACTGCATATGATTTTCTATAAGAAAGTCAATGATTCAGTATAATTATTATTAGGTAATGGATTGAGAAAATGTCTAAAATACCTGGAACAGCATTAACTTTAAAGCAGGTACCAGTTATTTAATAACTGAATTTAAAAGGCATATTGTTATAAATAATCCCATTCATGAAATCTTTTCTTTAAAGTTTATGCTGCGTCAAGAAGTCTTGAAACTATACAGAGAAATATTGCGCACCATAAGGCAAGTCCCTGATAAAAATACTCGGAAGGAACTTATTGAATGGACTAGAACCGATTTCCAGAACAACAAGCACCACACAGATGAAGCCACAATTAAGACAATGTTATATTACGGCAAAAAATCTTTAAAGGACTTTCAAAACTCTGTAGCACTGAGCAAAGGTTAGGGAACTACTGAAAGAAACAACAAAAAGTCCTTATAATTTACTAATGGGTTGAAATATGTACATATATTTGTGTAAGTAGGTAGTTATACATTGTGTGTGGAATAAATTAGGTCATGGTTACATAAGTTTTTCTGTTTCAAAGTTTGAAGTTTTGCTTTCATCATACATAACATACCATAATAATAATGTATAACATAATAATGGCACAACATTTCAATCTAAGTCATGTTTGAAGTTTCTAGGAAACACTGGAAGGGCATAAAGGATATTACTTGAAATAGGTCAGTAAGAATGCCTTTATATGGCTGCTACCACCCCAGGCCATGCCTTAGCATGAATACGCCCCTGCTTACAGCATAAATAATTAGACACAACTAGGCTTTCTGTTTTCAAACATGTCCCAACAAATTTCATAAATGATTTCTTTATACCTAATTTCACATATCTACAATTGCTTGGTAGAACAGATACACTAACATTGGCACTGTAATACCTGTACCCACAACTAATGTGAAAACAGTGAAAAATGTCACAAAATCCCCATTCTTATTTAAATATTTAGCAACTAGTTGTATTATGTTTCTTGCTATATGATGCCCATCAGTTCCGTAGCAAGGTACTATATTTAAAAAACCTATGCCCATAGAAAAAATGAATATATATCTCAGGAGTTTCTCAAATTGTGATGGTGAAAAAAAAGAAAATAATGCCATCCTGGGAAAATACTGATCAACAAACACTGTCTTATGTAAATCATAAGGTAATCCTAAGTACAAAACAGGATTATTGTTTTGCCTTTCAATAATCAAAAGGTAGGTATGATTGTTCATGGATGGTTTAAGACAATGGCTATTTCTAGGACATGAATAGCCATCGACTTCTGTGCACTTTACAAACTTATTTTTTATCATATCCCTGGGTCTGAGACATGAATACTGACCTGGCAATACTGAGTCACCTGCTACTTTAGGTTCCATATACTCAAAACAAAAGCTATACAAGTCATCTTTCCTGCAACATTCCACAACATCATTTTCTTTTACAGTTTCCATCATGATTTCATCGTTTTGAGCAATGAATTCCGCACTTGTGCATATACCAAAACGATTATGTGCCAGGTGCAAACAATATGCCCAGCCATTGGTATTCTTTATTTCACATCCGTTTATAGATGTAACAACATCATCTAACTCAAGTCCCCTCACATCCTTAAGAGGAGAATCATCAGTAAAATCTGTCACTCTTACACCAATACCAGTCTCATAAGCAATATTAAACAATATTGGTGCAGAGAAAAACAGAAGTAAGGCAATTAAAGCTGTTGCTAAGTTATGCCATACACCAGCACAGTAGATTCTCAGTCTTTTAGTTATAGCTAGGCTATTCAAATGATCTGTGTTCAGTTTAACAAAAGCGATTGGTATTATTGTAAACACATACAATCCAACTGAGATTAACTGAACATCCTCTTGAGCCGCAGCCATAGCATGTCCAAGTTCATGAAGCGTACTACATATTCCAATGGACAGGAAATATACCCAAAAATCAGATATGGGAATATTAACTCCAGGCAGCATAGCTTTCACCTCAGGAACAGTATTCAGTTGAATAGTTTCATAGAAATGTTCAAATATAAATGACATCAAGGTCCAAATAGCAAATGGTAGAAATAAAAATATAGTAATTAAATAACCACAAGTGAACCATTTTTTTAGAATGCGAGCAAGATTTTTGCTCCATCGGTAAATGAATCTATTGAATGCTGTAGTTGTCCAAGAAAAGTTCAATATTCCCACTTTTAATCCAGTTCCTTCCAAAAATGCATAATACGGATAGTGCATACAACTCTGAAAATTTATTATTTATATTACAAAACGTGTTAGGTGCGTCAGTGTTTATCTTATTTAATTCATTGAAGATTTTATTTACCTTGAAGAAAGAATCAAAAAACCAAATCACAACATAGAAGGCTAAAGCAAATGAACAAAGTACTGTAAATGACATGATTTTCAAAAAAAATCAACAATTAATAAAATATATTAGCATGATTACTACACTTTCTTTTACATAAAGTTTAATTGAATTCAAATTGGAATTTTATTCTAATAAAAATAAATAGAGGTTTAACCGAAACCGGCCCTTTCTTTTTTTATTTATACATTTAACGGCTTTGGTTGTAGATCCATACAGCCCCGGCCCTTCCTAGGTTTTGCAATTTGTATAGATTTTTCGTGTCTACCATGCTAGCGTACACAACATCGATTTCGAGGTTGTTACACGTGAAACAGTGCCAAATTAGTGCAATAATAAGAAAATCTTCCTCTGTAGAATGGTGTCGATTCTATCATGATTCTCGAAACCTAAACTTAAATTTGAGAGTATATTCTTGTCATTCTCTATACAGAATGAAAAGAAGAGACTGATGTTAAATTTACTTTTAAGTTTAGAGAATCACGCCAGAATCGACACCAATATCTGTTTTATAGTGTACGCTGGCGTGACGATTAAGCTAGCGTTCAGCAGGCCGGTCTCAGAAACAATTTATTGTTATGCAACTAAATTTTATTTCCGAAACTAAAGAGGAAGTTTTTTTATTATTGTACTAATTAGGCACTTTTTACGCACTATTTAATAGCATAAGTAACAACCTCAAATTTTATGTGGTGTACGCTAGCATGACGGACACGATTTTTCTATAAATAATATACCGCAAGCATTGCGAAGAGAAAAGAGACTGAGATATTTTGATGAGACTGGCGCCAATGACTTACAAACTAACTGGAATGCTTACGCGACCCTAAAAATCGTTCCAAGATCATAGCTGATTTGGTGGAACCTGTCTCGTTCTAGTAGTGTGCCCAAACAATTGCAAGAGAGGGACAGATTGCACTTTTATCGTTGTCGCTCTATGAGTATTTTTCACTCTTATGAAGGTAGAAACAAAAATGGACTTTATGCATAACTACTTAGATTACATTTTTTGAATTTCCATATTGTTTCGTAAGCATTCCAGTTAGTATATAAGTTCCCTGGCCGGCACTTACATTGGCTATCTGTGTTTGCTATTTGTACATTGACATTAGTTTGTCCTTTTCATATCTTGGAAAGCATTACCTATCAGGAGAAACTGTTGTCACGTTTATAAATAGATAATACGTGAAGAAGAAGAACAGTGAAGTGAAGTGCCAACATGACAGATTTGAGTTGTAACTTGCGAATGGAGAGTTGATTGACCTTAAGAATTGGTTGTATGAAATGTGTATCCATTGTATTGATTTATTTGAATAAATTAATAAGAGCTGCATGGCTCTGCCTTTGCCTTTCCCAAGATGGGAAAAAAGATATTAAAAAAAAAACAATTGTCAATGTCAAATTTTCAGTCATTGTGTTGTTTGCTTGTGTGGAATAAAATCAAAATATTGTAACAAGTTATAAAATAATATTAACATGTGAGTGATGAGTTGTACGGAAAATGATAGTAGCCCCTTTGTCGTATTCTTCTTACCAGCAGTCGTTGGCTGTCTGACCATACTCTTGGCGAGGCGTTGGGCTAATTCTCAAACTAGCAATACGTCTTCAACAGCCGTCTCTAGGCGGCGGAAGATCATCAAAGACCCCCTTATTAAGAGACCTTTACCGCCGATCGCTTGTAAAATGGTTGCACCGGGTTCTAAAAAGTCTTCTGGCTCAAATAAAAAGGTTCTTCAAATGTATAACTAATGATCTGATTAGTGCTCTTGCAGTGTCTAAATAGCTAACACATGTTATTTTATTATTTCCGCTTATCGTCAACAAGTCTAGCAAGAATTATATAATGAACATAGGTATTTATTTCAGGGGAATTGTGCAACTGAAGAGGATAGCAACGGTTGTGGTAATGGCAAAAAGGTGAGCCGGCCTTCGCGGGCGGCTGTTGCCCCAGCCCCTACAGTCAGTCTTTCAGAAACAAAATTGATAGAAGGTCCAGTTCCTCCTAAACATATACCCTTTCCATATATTCCACAAGATGGGATACTGCTGTTTGAATCAATGACTTTTGTGTTTTTGCTGGTAGCTGCTGGGTTACAATTTTTGAATTTGTACCGTACTGCTTGGTGGCTTCCACATTCATATACAAACCAGGCAATGGTGAGAAAATAATATTATTTAGAAATGATTTTAATAGTATTATTTACTTTAGACTTAAATTTGCAATTAAATTTCAGCATTTTTACTTAATAGACCCACATTTGGTTGCTTTCATAGTAACAGTGGTATCGAGGAGGTTTCTGCTAGCAGCATCACTGGCAGTTTTGAAATCTTTTTTAGCTCCTAAGTTGATGCCACATGCAACCATTGCTGCTAGGTAACTAGTTCTCTAATCTTATGATACATTTTATTATCTCAATTAAGTTATTAATGGTTTATTGAAACTTAATTTATGCATACAAAGTTAACAGTGTTTGTATGTTGCTACTTCATTTGCAGTTAAAAAGCTTAAAGATAACTGAAAGAATTGCAATATATTACATTCAATCATTATAAATACTCAATTAATATGTAATTGTCTGTATACTTTTTTCAGAATGTTTATATTGGGGGTAGTGCTTGGAGTCCTAACATGGTGTGCATATTTCATAATGCTCAAATATCCACTTGTCAAAATATTCTACCTATGCTATCCGTAAGTAAGAAATAACAACTATTTAGGTGTAGTTATTTAGTTTTTTATGTTTATGAGTTTTAGCTCAACTAACAGAGCTAGATTGATAAATAAATAAGAAGCTTTTAGCTTGATAAAGAGTTGTTTTGTGTTACCTGTTTATACTTTTAGTAATCCCAGCATTTCCCTAGGGGGGGTTAAATGCATGTGTTAAGGGTAAAAATAATGCTTGAAAGTTAATTTTGCAGGATAAGGGTTTTTTTTTACACTGAGTATATATGAGGAGTAGTTGGCATACTTCTTTTTACAGAAGTTATTTTATAAATTATCCTTTTATGTTTCAGTGTGGTGATATACTTCATACTGTTTGGCTTTCAATCAAGTCCATTTCTAGAGTTGAATAACTCGGAAACCCCTCCACTGCATTGCTGTTCTCATGACCCCCAACAAATTAGGAATGAAGTGGATGTACTCAGAGAGGACTTTAATTTAAGAGTCAAGAAGATTATCTTCAATTCTGTCATGGGTGCATATTATACGAGTTTCATTCCATGCTGTTTTGCACAGGTAGGATCTGCTGAAATAATTGCTGTAGGTGGCTTTTTGTGATACATTATTGAGAATGGGGTATATATTTCTGGTCTAGTATGTTTGTAGAACTGGGTTCAGGGTAAAGACTAGCTATTTTTAGTTAATTATCATCAAGCTTATTATCATCAAAATATTCCTTTTCACATAAAAATCAAGAGTTTTAAACTGGATTTTGAGATATGTATAACCTAGTTAAATTAAATACATAAAAATTCAGAAAATATCCTGCTTAAACCTTTTTTTTTTTTCATCCAGTCGTACTTGAAGTACGACGTATACGCGTCGTCGCAGCAGGTGGCGTTCGTATGGGCGGGGCTGTGCGGGCGGTACGCGGGGCAGCTGGCGGCGGCCGCGTACTGCGACGTGCCGCACCGCGCCGCGCTTCACCTGGGCCGCTGGAGGCTGGATCTGGGGCTCGCTGGTAACTATATAAGGTGTCACGCTCCGGACGCACTCGCAGTACGACGGGACGCGTCGAGGCGTGTGGGCGTTAGGCGGGGCAGCTGGCGGCGGCCGCGTACTGCGACGTGCCGCACCGTGCCGCGCAGCACCTGGGCCGCTGGAGGCTGGATCTGGGGCTCGCCGGTAACTACATAAGGGGTCACGCTCCGGGGGCAATCGCAGTACGACGGGACGCGTCGTGGCGTGAGGGTGTTAGACGGGGCAGCTGGCGGCGGCCGCGTACTGCGACGTGCCGCACCGCGCTGCACCTGGACGCATTACGACGTTCCGTGCAGGCGGTACGCGGGCTGGCTGGCGGAGGCCGTGTACTGCAAGCTCCGTAGCTAGGCTAGGGATCTTCCTTAATGGAAAGGACTATTGATTGGGCCATGTCCTACTATGCGGACCCAGTGATTGGTGGGTTTAACGACGAGAAGGTGTCAGATTAGGTCATTGTTTGATTGATTGGACAATTCGGACCTAGTAACTGGTGTGTTTTAACAGTAAAGAGGGGTCAGACCATGAACCTTACACTGTATGATGAGTTCACTTTGTCGTGACTGTGACCCGAAATAATAATTTTGAACTATAAAATAAATCGTGCTGTTTTTCGATTTCTTTTTCTATTATATTGAAAAGATGTACATATTGTTATTCATATGAACAGAGATAGTTTAAATAAGATTTAATACCGTTTAGATTCATCGGTCGAAGTGCCGTCTTGGTGTCCAAACAAATTTTACGCGCGCAACGCGACTGTACGTTGGCGTGGAGGCACCTTCTACGCGATAGCCACCACCGCCGCGGAGCCCGCTGAGCCGAAGCACACGCGCTTCTATGTGAGTATTAACTGGACTGAACAAATGAAAATTAAAATACACCGCGTCAAAAAGTCTAAAGATTGTGTTGAAGCGGGCGAGGCCGCGCCGCGCAGGATTGCCAAACGTGTGAGAACTCTAACCTTCGAGATTTAGCAGACTCTGTACATGATACGAGATGAATAGAAATCTCGTACACTTTGATATGAAATTGGAACAATGTTGCCTGTTTGTGTCATGTACACATACTAAAAATATAATCAAAAAGTAAATAAATGTCCAGTCCACAAAAGATCGACTCAGTAAGTACAGCTTTATTATGACATCACAAAGTTTACGAGATTTCTATTGACCTCGTATCATGTATAGAGACTGCTAAATCTCGAACGTTACGAGTTCTCATAAGTTTGTGACAACACAGGTCGTGGGACAGCGCCTTAACCAACACGCATAATGAGGGAGGGTGTTTGTGAAAATTCTTGGTCACCAGTTGGCGCCACTGTGACGTCTTTTGTATGAAGTTTTTGAAGTTATACTTTAGCCGCGTTATGAAAAAAATATGAGAGTGAAATTTTAAGATGCACGCGCATCACTGTAACACAAAAGTAACATCATGAAGTTAGCCGCGGGCGCGTTATGAAAAATTGATGAGAGTGAAATTTTAAGATGCGCGCGCAACACTGTAACATAAAAGTAACACCATGAAGTCGGCCGCTAAACCGCACATTACTCGTAAGTCTCGAAAAAAAGCTTCCAACAAAATAGTAATAGGATCTCTTAGTCGCACATGTTGGGACGCTCGTCGCCTCTGATCACTGTTTTCATATTTATAATATTTATTATTTAATAAAACTGTAAGAATGTGCGGGAGGGCGAAGGGGGAGTGTGAGAAGACTGACGTCAAATAAAGATAGGCGTAGGTAGAAAATACTTATTTTGTGATTACTATTCAATATTTGTAGGAGAAATGGTATTACTGTATCCCACAAGGGTGGAAGTAAATGTATACTATTATCAAGACACTAAGACGTCCCACATGGTGGAAGCGTATAGCGTGCAAGACAATAGGCCCTACCTACGAAGCGATGACTTGGTCAATTTCCCAAGAACACCTTATACAAGTGGTGTCAGTATAGTATAGCACGATTCACATGAGTACAGCGCCATCTAGTAGCGGTCGGCGTGATGATATTTGATCCTATGATGTGCCATACAATCGGTGTCGTTATAGGATAGCGCGATTCACATGCGTACAGCGCCATCTAGTAACGGGCGGCGTGATGATATTTAATACTATGGTGTTACAAAAATAATGGTGGATTATTAACCACTTAGTGGTTAATAATCCACCATTATTAGACATCTGTTCGAAAGGTACTTTGAACGATCCACGGAGCTCCATAAGATGATCGCGTTGTCAAAAACAATGTTGGCACGCTCGTTGCCTCTGATCACTGTTTTCATATTTATAATATTTATCCACATGTTTCTAGTTTCTATATAGACACAACGTGTTTTAGTTACTTACAAGTGCTAATTACATATGGACTAATAACTTAAATTCAGTAGTGATTTTAATTGAATATTTATTTAATTTTTCAAATTAAAACTGAACTTAATTGACTGTGTTAATTATCCTTTTCCAGTCCTTTTATTATTTTATTGTAATTATTAATTATTTGCATGCAATTAAAAAATATTTTTAATGATGCTAAAGAAGTATAACTTCTCACGCGCGTACATAAGTTACACGCATCCATTTTTTTAACTCCATAGACCAGATTCATAGACTATGAGAACATATGCGATTTGACGGATGAATAGACCTTTCGTGTCAGTGCTGCCACCTGATGCCCGTCATTTCAGAAAACCCCCATATAGAACCTGTATGTTTCTATTATTTTTTTTTGTTAACAAAGTAAATTGGTATTAAGGATGCTATTTTGTTCCCGGAAACATAATTGGCTGATTCTGATAATAAAAACATTATGATTGGATTTTGTTTTTGTAAAAATAAATAAAAATATGTTTTACAATAGTTAAATCGTTCAAAGCAGTAGATATCGCTAAGACTTTTTGTAGGTATATTTTGTTTCTTCAATAGAAATTACAAATTCTTTTTGGTCCATTTTTAAGTAAAATAATACTTGTAGAGTAGTCCCTGCTCTTTTGAAGGACACAACTTAGTAAAACTTGCATGAAATTGACAAGTCTCCAAATTTAGGAAGAGATAAAAACCGAAATATAGATTGACTATGTGCTGCCCTACGTTTCATCTCTCACAATTATCTGTCCAACGTGTTGATAAGCCATCTGATATGAATTTAATATTTTCTTATATCAATATCCTTTCTATTAATACTATAAACGCGAAAGTTTTCATGGAAACTGTGTATATATTTGTTACTCTCTCACGCTAAAACGGCTGAACGGATTTGGATGATATTTGGCACTATGTAGTTTATTACCCAAATTGACACAGGTAACTTTTGATCCTTATTCAAAAAAAACTATAGATGCATTGATTTATTTATTTATTGACGTTTTGAATCTTTTTCAGGATGCGTCGTCTAAATTATATATAAATTAATAATACATTTTGACTTCTCCTTACAACAAATTTAGACACATACAATACAGGATAAGCAACACTTAAATAACTCCGACAAAGTTACTATTTATATAAATAATTATGTGTTTTTTTCCTCAACAGGCGGTGTTCATAAATCCATCTACGATGCTATGTCTACTGCTGTGTATGCAGTTGTCCTTAATAATTTTAGAGTTGTGTCTACTCTTCAGCTCGATAGCCTGGCACAATTTTATAGCCATAGTAATACTATTGTTCATTAACTACTACACATTATTCAAGATAATGCGGGACTATTTAATTGCATGGAAAGTTTACAAAGCAGAGAATATGATACAAGACAAGAATAACATGGCGCAGCAGCAGCCGACAAACTAAAAAGTGAAAACCTTATAATGTATTGATTAAACTCAGACCCTACAATTATTTTTTTAAGCTTGACGTTGTTTCTTTAGTTTGTTTAACATCACTTTGACAACCAACAAAGGAAGTCTTAGGGTGCGGCCAGAGTGCACTCAGATTCAGATTCAGATTTCGAAAACAAGTGCGAGAAATAAACAGTGTAGTCGAAGGGTACGGCCAGAGTGCACTCCTGATTCAGATTCAGACTCAGAAAACAAAGCGCGAGAAAAAGCAGGCAACCTGCTTAGACTACACTGTTTATTTCTCGCGCTTGTTTTCAGAATCTGAATCTGAGTGCACTCTGGCCGCACCCTTATGGAAGTTTAATGGAAGTCTGAGTGAGAGTGTAAATTGGTATAAAAGTATAATTTACCACGCACAAAATTCGTTATGCTGTTGTTTTGTAAGAGATTAAATTAGCTGTAAACTGGCTTTTATAATGTACCAGTTAATATTATTCATATTGTTTTGATCAATTTAATAAGTAATGACATGCTGTTATGTCGGTTCCTGCTAAGCTTCGATCAACATTTCTATAGATAACGGGTTGCTTAAAAAATCGAAGCTATAAACTGTCCGCGTATGTTTAAACTTATGCAGTGACATTCGATTCCCTATGAACAAAGATAAATGTTGTAAAAAGTAGAACCTAATAACAACTAACTCACAAAGGAATAAGGCTACAATAAACAAAATGTTATTTCGCACATACGTCCTTTTATAAATTATATCTGATACTTGAAAAAAAACGATAAAGGTGAAAGAAGGAAAATGTGAAATCAACCTTATGACCCACAAAATAAAATATTTTTGCCAGTCATTGGCCAGTGAGTTACTTCGCTTTTGTAACCGAAATAATTTAAAATAAGATCTCACGCCTCAAGTGAGGCTATATTTACCGAGACGGATTTTACGCGCTGTCCCGTTATCTATAGAATTGTTGATCGAAAGTGCTAAGCTAAAAACTCTAGTCGATCAACATTAGATATGAACATTCCATGATAAAAAAAGCAAAATCACAATTCGTACTTAATATAAATTTGTTAAAAGTGCACCCTTTATTTTATTGTCACAGAATATGTTGAATGAGTTTATCATGAAATGAAGTAAGATTGACATTAAAATGTTATTTCGTTTATTTGACTGTCCATTGCTTGAATGTGTGTAAAGCCATCCTAGTTTTTGAATGTTGTTTGGATTTTTCCGACCATCCAGTATAGATGTGAACAATGTAAGAATAATAAAAACTTGCCATAAATCTATATTTTTATTTAATGTTATATTACCCTTTCGAGAAAATAGATTTACAGCTCTTGTAATGATTGATGGGCACGCGTCATTCTGCATTAGGTCGTGGCTCATTCTTAACGTTAATAAATGAGTGTTTAAAATATCACGTCTCACTCTCAATTCACCAAAAATTTGAAAATTCGCGCGTTTTAAGTTGACAGAGAGTCCGACCTAAAAACATACGAATAGAGGAGAACGATCGCTACCTGACGTGCTAAAGCATTAGCCCGCCTGATTTGGAGAATTTATAGTTCATATTTTAGCCACCCGCCGCGCTGCCGTCGGTAAGTAGTATCTGTGAAGTTAGCTGTTTATGAGTACAAGTAGATGAAGTTAGTTGAATAATGTACGAAATTATAAAAAACAATTTTATTCATAAACAATAATAATAATTTGGTTTTTTTTCTTTGAATGATATTATATACCTTTAATATACATATATTAAACGTTGATAGAACATTTCAAATTGGCGCACAACACCCGCGTTTACTGAGACAACTTAGCGAGCGCAGCACCTCACTGATTTTGTCCATATTTCTGGGACACTATTTTCTACAATGATCATTCTCCTCTCTCTTACCTCCATGTGGTAAACATTGACATTACAGACTAGTAATAACCACAGAGTAGCCTACTAATACTTAGTTACATAAAGTTAATTATTATAATAAATTCAACCAGTAATTAAACAGATGATACAATATTTATATCTATTATGTTAATGCAATCGCATTAACAAACATAGATATAAATATTGCCCTTAATGTTAAGCAACTTTCGCAATCGTTGGTCATTGGATTCATTGACCAACTGCATGGATTGTTAAACTTAAAAATGACAAAACTCTAAAAAAACGAGTCATATTTTAATTTTTAGTGCTTAGTGCATAATTGCATTTACACATAATTAACGATTCAATATTTACATAAGACAAAAAAAAAAACTTCTATACAAGTGTCTTTGATCACAAATCACAGTTATTTAGTAAATACCCAGGAAGCTGTTTTATTACTGTCATTGATCTGAACTTCGATCATTTTCATTTTATCTCGAACTATGTCACAAGCATTGAGTAGCTCTTTGTCCTTTCTTGTTAAGGCATTTAACCTTACTGTATGTCGGAAATCAACCAAAGTATCTATGATGGAATTGGAAACTGAGTCTTCTGTGTTTTCTTTCAATGTAACACCAAACTTCATCAGAACTGTAGTCACATAATCTGCTATCAGTATTATTGGTACTGGATAATATTCACCATTCTTCTCCTTTATTATATTATTTGTATTTGACATCAAACTTAATAAGTTATTGATGCAAGAAGCTGTGTCAAAATCAGATTTGAGAAATTTAAGATTTTGATACTCCACATTTTGGAGGTCATCTAATAATTTATCTTTATAGACTCCGTTTTGTAGGGCATTATTGTTAACATAAACATAGACATCTTTTAAGAAAAATTTAAACTTCTTCAATGTTTCCTCGGCAGTTTGCATCATCTGATCACTGTATTCCATTGGATATCTATAATTTGACATAAGACAAGCCATTCTGAACGTATCTGCACTATACTTGTCCAAGAGTTCAGGAATAGAAATTGTGTTTTTCAATGATTTAGACATTTTAGAGTCACCTTTAACACTTAAATGTCCCACATGTATCCAGTAGTTGGCCCATTGTAATGTGTTGTGGAAGGCACACGATTGAGCTTCTTCATTTTCATGATGAGGAAATTGCAGATCCACTCCTCCAGCATGAAAGTCCAACTGTGAGCCAAACAGTTTGCTGACCATAGCTGAACACTCAATATGCCAGCCTGGTCTGCCTTCTCCCCAAGAAACAGGCCAAGATGGTTCTCCTGGCTTTGGCCCCTTCCACAGAGCAAAGTCCATTTTATTTCTCTTTAATACACTTAAAGGTTCCCCACAATCTTGCATTTTCTGTAACTTGCCGTAAGATGGAAATTTAGCAGTGTTGAAATACACTGAACCATCAGGTGTTACATAAGCCATATCAGAGTCAATTATTTTTTTAATAAACTGCTCTATTGACAGGATGTGATCTGACACTCTAGCAATTATTGATGGCTTTTCTACATTTAGATTGGCCATATCAAGCCAAAATTCATATTCATACTGCTGAGCAATTGATTTAAAATTTGTATTAGTTTCTTTGCCTCTTTTGATGATCTTATCATCAATATCTGTTACTCCCATGGCAGTGACTAGCTTTATGTTAAAGAATGATTTTAATATCCGTTGGACAATGTCTAATTTTACATAGCAACTTGCGTGCCCAATGTGTGCAGAGTCATACACTGTTGGACCACAGGAGTACCATGTAGCGATGTGTGGATCACTAAGTATCACAGGAACTTTTTGATCTGCTACACAGTTATACACAAACAATCCGGTAGGATTCCCGTTCGGCATAAGCCATTTAGTGTCTTTATATGGTTTCAAATTGCATACATGGGAAAGTTTTCTTTTGAAAACTGTAAAATTTTTGATCATCTTGCTATTCACACAAGCGGTCTTACTACATTAATATAATAGTTGTATCTTTGGTCTTGAAGGAAATTTATATAATAATTATACGCAAATATATAGATTTCTACGATTTTATCATTTTCCGAACTTTTGCATAATTAAATAAAAAGTACTAAAAAAGCAAGCAAACTATTCATAACACAATAAAAAGTCAATGTCAGTTTTTTTTTGGTTTCTCCGTTTTTGGGAAGGCAAAGGGAACAATGCTCATACAGCCTAGTCTACAGTTATGTTAATCTTTTATTTTTACATTAGAATGTCGGTGTGACGCATTCTAATGTTTCTTGAAGTGTTTGGCACGAAATGTATCGAGTGGGCTTTTTCGATAAGCTTCTGTGAGGTAGTCAACACTACAATAAAATTCTCACGACAAAATTTTAAAGATTCCACTAATTAACAGTTGCGGAGACGGTTGTAACACAAAATCACACCAATTTTATTTCACAATATCCACTATGAACGAATTTAAGAATAATTAAAATAAGACGCAAACTGCACTTGATAAAATCCCGCCAAAAAACAGTTTTTTATATTCTTTTTCCCCTTAGAAGGGCAAAGGCAGAGCCATGGAGTCATCGTCTTCAATTGTTTTTGTAAAGTTATATTTTTAAACGCACGCAAGGGGGGCCACACAACATCTTTCGGGTCCCAAGCCAACCTCCCCTGCAAGCGGTGCATCCTGCTGCATAACAGACGAGTCCCTGGCGAAACCACCCACCAACCCGCACTGGACCAGCGCGGTAGGTTATGGTCCAAACCCTCTACATGAAAAGCACAACATTGTCCCGGCCCCCAGTTCCCGGTAGCCCTGCTATTCCAGGCCAAGGCGGCGGTCTCGGTTACGGCAGGGCAATGGGTGCTAAGAATCTCCGGGCGGTACGGTAGGCCGCCAAAAAACATTGAACTTAGCGACATATAACGGTCGTACGCTGTGGCTCGACTCTCATCTAGTTCAACTGGAGGAGGAGCTGAGGCACATAAGATGGCACGTGCTGGGGCTGAGCGAAATCCGCAAAGAGGGCGAGGACACGCTGACCTTAAAATCTGGCCATCTTAAGTACTTCAGAGAGGGAGAAAATCCGTTACAGTTCGGCGTCGGGTTCCTGGTTATTGAAATCTCCAGTGTGTCGGCGAAGGTTGCGTACCCCATTATTAAATTAACCAGAAGGTATAGCCTAAAGGTTATACAAGTGTACGCTCCAACGTCGTCATACTCGGATGATGTCGTGGAAGAGATGTACGAGGACATCTCTCGAGCCTTACACACCACCACCATGGCTCACTTTAACGTTGTCATGGGGGATTTCAACGCTAAAGTGGGAGTACATACCTGCAGCGAATGGATGTTAGGATCATACGGCTATGGAAGTAGGAATCACAGGGGGCAAATGCTCGTCAATTTCTTAGAACGCGAGGGGCTTTTCTTAATATTTTCGTTCTTTAAGAAACAGCCCCAGAGGAAATGGACGTAGCGAAGCCCCGATACTATGACCAAAAACGAGATTGACTTCATCATATCGGACAAGAAGCGCATATTCAGAGATGTCTCAGTGATCAATAGGTTTAAAACTGGAAGTGATCACCGACTTCTACGAGGCACTCTGAATATCGTTTTTAAGCGCGAACGTTGTCGATTAATGAAGTCCACGCTTCGGCCAAATCTGCTCCAATTGGCCGTTGGTTCTGATGCATTCCAACTGAAACTGGAAAATCGATTCACTGCCTTGGAAACCACACTTGACGTTGACATCGACGAGGAACTCGACCAAGTGGTAGAAATCCTTTCGGGAAGAAGGTGCAAAGCTCTGTGAGCTGCGACACTGTGAGATGAGAGAGATTTAAGAGCCACATTAACCCGCCATGTGACGGAGGATCTCCCCGACATCGACCTAAAGGAGAACGAGGTGGCTCTTGCGCAACTTAAAAATGGAAAAGCCCCGGGGGAGGACGGAGTCACAACCGAGCTTCTGAAAGCTGCCGGCAAGCCGATGCTGAAGAAGCTCCGGCGTATATTTAACTCTGTTCTCTTCTCCGGGAGAACTCCAAAGGGCGTGGCACCGGAGCTTGGTCGTATTATTCTTCAAGAATGGCGACAAGACCTAACTGAAGAACTATCGACCAATTTCACTCCTGAGCCATGTATATAAATTGTTCTCAAGAGTCATCTCGAATCGCCTTGCACGAAGACTTGACGAAGCTCAACCTGCGGAGCAGGCTGGGTTCCGACGGGGTTATGGCACCATAGACCACATTCACACAGTGAGGCAGGTTATACAGAAGACCAAAGAGTGTAACCAGCCTCTGTGCATGGCGTTTGTGGACTATGAGAAAGCCTTTGACTCCGTCGAGACCTGGTCTGTTCTCGAGGCCTTGCAGAGGTGCCAAGTTGATTGGCGATATATCGAGGTGCTGAGATGTCTGTATGACGCCGCTAATATGTCCGTCGTCCGCAGCGGAGAAGAGTTTGTGTCCGCCGACACAAACTCTTCTCCGCTGCGCTGTAGGACATGTCCGGAACGCTCAACTGGAAAAGACGTGGAATAAATATTAATGGCGAATACATCTCACACCTTCGATTCGCGGACGACATCGTCATCCTGGCTGAAACCCTACAAGAGCTACAGGATATGGTGGTTAGCTTGGCTGAATCTTCCAAACGCCTCGGTCTCCGGATGAACTTGGATAAAACCAAGGTCATGTTCAACGAGCTCGTTGATCCGGGACTGGTTGCTGTTAATGGAGTACCTCTCGAGGTCGTTCAGGAATATGTCTATCTAGGACAAACGCTCCGATTAGGCAGAAACAACTTCGAGAGAGAAGCCAATAGAATAATTCAGTTGGGCTGGGCAGCATTTATAAGCTTCGTCAAGTCTTATCGTCACCCATCCCTCAATATCTCAAGTCAAAAGTCTTCTACCAGTGCGTTCTCCCAGTTATGACATACGGCACCGAGACGTGGACACTCACGGCTGGACGAGTCCACCAATTTGAAGTCGCTCAGAGAGCTATGGAAAGGGCTATGCTCGGAGTATCCCTGAAGGACCGCATCAGAAATGAAGTAATCCGACAGAGAACCAAAGTCACCGGCATAGCCCACCGAATTAGTAATCTGAAGTGGCAGTGGGCTGGTCACCTTAGCCGAACCAGAACTGATGGCCATTGGAGCCGGAAAGTTACTGAGTGGAGACCACGACTCGGTAAACGTAGTGTAGGACGCCCTGAGACAAGATGGGATGATGATATTCGTAGGCTGGCTTTAGTGAGCTGAATGAGAGTAGCACAAAATCGGGAGCAGTGGCGTGCATTAGGGGAGACCTATGTCCAGCAGTGGACGAACATGGGTTGATGATGATGATGATGATGATGATATTTTTAAACGGCCGAAGCCATGTCCTGAATCATAAAATGTTTATCTAAATAGTCGGTTTCTAATCCATTTTCAATGTAGGTACATGTATTTTTCTCCAAATTTTCAAGTCCGGTATTGAAGTCATCTTGTTATATGTTTAACATCATGTATTTTTTATAGTTCGGGTGACAGGTTTAAACAAGAGGAAATTGACATAAACACAAATAACTTTTAAACTGCCTGGGATAGATACTTCATCGTAATAGTATTTAATTAGTTTTTCCGATATTTTCCGGCAATATCTTAAAAACATAGTAACTGATCACAGATAGTTTTTTAATATTATGGTTGTTGTACTTCTGCTACTGTGAATGCATATTTTGTTAAAAGGTATAATAATTGTGGTTGCAGAGGCTAAACTATATTATACTGGTTATTGAAATTTTTACAATACATGTAAGAAATGGATGGCATTACTGTTGCAACAACAGCTAATTGTTATTTCTTTGTTTTATTGAAATAATCACTTGGATCAGTTGGGTAAAGTTGCCATTGACTGGGTCTTTGTAATTTTACCTGTAGCTGGGGTTGCCGCGAAAATTAAACATTTAACCTTTACTTTTGTTAATAATTTTTGATATAATTTGGAAGTAATGGTTATTGCAAAATATTCTTAATGAGAACACTTGTAATAAATTATACTAAATCTAGGGGCATGCCAGCATACTACCTATTTAATTTTGAAATTGAAAATGTCTCTCAAATCTTTTTCGGCCCATATGCTATTATCGCTATATTTCCGAGGATAATTGAGATTTCTCTAAGGAACAAGTGTCCCCAGGTTCACAATTTAATTGTGGATCCGATATTGAATTTTTTGTAGTAAGTAATTAATTAAAAAATGATGATGACAAGAGACCTGACGGTGCTACGCTTGTGCCGTGGAGACTGGGCCGCACTCTGGTGTGGGATGTAACTTGCGTAGACACGCTGGCTCCATCTTATATACATGAAACTTGTACTAAAGTTGGGGCCGCAGCCGACCGTGCTCAGTTTCTCAAGCGTCGTAAATACTCTTCTATAATTAAAGATTATGAGTTTGCGGCGTTAGCTTTCGAGACTTCAGGGTCGTGGTCGGCTGACATGAAGCGGTTTATGAAGGATATGTCGAATCAAATGATTCTCTCTTCGGGTGATCAGAGGGCTGGCAGCTATTTCGCGCAGAGAAGTTTCAGCGAGGTAATGCTGCCAGTGTTCTGGGTACCATGCCCCAAATTGGAATTTTGGATGACAATATATTCTTCTTGTGAATACGTAGGTATATAAATATTTTATGGTTAATTTTTAATGATAGGTTTTTAGTTTGATATTGGTGTCGATTCCGGCACGATTATCTAAACTTAAATTTGACAACAGTCTATATTTGTCATTCTCTATACAGAATGAAAAGGAGAATGATCTTTAATTTAGTTTTAAGTTTAGAGAATAATGGCAGAATCGACACCATTGTTGTAACGTAATTATAGTTACTTGTTCAATAAAAAAATATGTATAATGATTGAAAAGTTGCATGATTATATTGAAAAAATAAGGAAAACGCATATCCGAAGACAGATTGCACGTCGATTGAGACCTCTCCGAATGAAATTGGTTAGTAATTGTGTCCTGTAGGTGTGCTTTTACGAGCGTAAAAAAAAATATTTTTGATATTGAAAATGTCTATCAAATCCTTTTTTCAATGTTTCAGAAATGTGTGTCTCATATTTCAGTGCAATGATGCCGGCCGCGAGGAAATTACGCGCCGAGGCTCGGCGCTGATTCGAATTGTTACATTCTAGTCGAAATCAGCAATGGGAAGATAATATTGATAATGAGAATATCAGAATTATTCCGAGTGGGTCAACGGTTAACAAGATTCCGATCAAGAGACAACATTTCACACAATTCTATTCAAAACTTCTATTCGTCTTTTGCTGGCAACCAACATGTATGGCGCTTTTGTTAACACCCAGCAGTGTTTCAACGAGAGAGCTAAGATATCCGATGTACTTCATTTGGAACCTTCGCACAAAATTTCTATACTGTTGCCGTCTGTGTCACACTGGTGGTACGCTCCGAGCAGACTACTGATGACGGCTTTCATACGAAACAAATTCATCAACGATCTCAAAGTTATCTCGACCACCGATGAGTTTCATGATGCTCTTAGCAAATTTCACATACGTGATGTTGTACAAGGCTTCGCTGCAACTAGAGACAAGATTGTCAGGCACCAAGCAAACTAACGACGGTTTGGTGCCTACGGTGTTTAACATGCGAGTGGTTAATACATAGACAACACCGAGTAAAATCAATACGCCTATTATGTGACCCAGACGACCCTAAAAGCATGAAACCAGTCTCATGGAAGAAATTAGTTCTGAATCAGAGTTATATTCATAGTATGTGTGTTGTGTGGGTTGACGATTGACATTACTGTGGACGGTCTGTGCTATCTACAGATACCAGAAAAACGCCCGAAATCGTTAAAAATGACAGAAGATGCCAATTTTTCGCTGAACAGTTCAAAAAATCAGCGACGATGACCGAGACGAGTACTCCTTCAACCGACAGGATTCTGGATGTTTCAATGGCACGAGAAAACCTCTAGATTTTGATTTGTAAACTTCGAGTCAAGGCACTTATTATAATTTCTTATTTGACTTCTTATTGTATTTCATTCAGAGCTTCATTGAAATAAATGTAGAGTCTGTGCGGAAAGAGAATGGGCGTGGCGAAAAACGCAAATAACGTTAAGATTTTTATTTGGCAATCAAACCCAGCAATCTGCAAAACGTCAAAGTTTTGTATTGATACGGATTTTTTTGTTGTTGTGATTTCTTGCGCTTTTTTATATTTAATCATGTCTAAAAGAGTGTAAAACCTTACAAATACGGTAGAAAAGCACTACAGCGCCATCCAATCTAAGGGTGCGGCCAGAGTGCACTCAGATTCAGACTCAGATTCAGATTTCGAAAACAAGCGCGAGAAATAAACAGTGTAGTCTAAGCAGGTTGCCTGCTTTTTCTCGCGCTTTGTTTTCTGAGTCTGAATCTGAATCTGAGTGCACTCTGGCCGCACCCTAAATCCCATTCTCTTTCCGCACAGACTCTAACAAGATTTTTGTTATGTGTTGTTAAAGAAAAAATATTTTCGCAATATTTGTTTTTAGTCCAGTCGGAATAAACATGAGACCTATTCTAAGACACCAGCGCTTAGCCAATTTTTTCCTAGATAGTATAGACCCCCACGAATATGCCCTCCATTTGTCCCCGCTAGAACCCGTGTTTTGTAGCCAGGAAAATTGTTTAAACAAAGAAAAACCGGTTTTTTGAGTTTTTTTCCTTGTAAACGGGGATTTTGAAATTTTTTTTGAATCAAAGTTGTTCATTAGCTTGCCCTCTACAAAATCAGTTCTATGAAAAAATAACGTGAGATTGTTAGTTTAGCAGTAAATTGCAATTATGTCGGTTTTACGTTTGCAACAATTCAACATGTTATAATAAACATTTTGATTTCTAAAGTAGTTTATCATGTGGGTAACGCCACTCCCAAGAGAGTCATGTAAAATTTATCGACCTGTGTCGCAAACTTTAGCAACAATTCTCAATCTCCGAAAAAAAAGTACTTGCCTGTCCCGTATTTCCCATAAGGCGCACAGCGGGGAAAAAAATTCAGGTGATTCGATTCACCAAGAATTTTGAGGAATCGATCGAGTAGAAAAAAATCGTTTATAGAAATGTTCGTTTTTGGACGATTTAATTTTTTTTTAAAAATTGACGTAGAATATTTTTTTTAAACTAATGTATTTTTCTCTCCTCAACTCGAATATACGATTGAAAATTTAAAAAATTCAGTTTATTTATGTACAGAAATTATTTACAAAACTATTAACTAAAATTCGATTACAAGACTGCGTTGTATTCTATATTTCTAATTAAATTAATTTCGTCCTTTTTTCTTCCGGTTCATAATCGGAATTCTCAGGGTATATTAGTATTATATATATATATTATATATATATATATATATATATATTATATATATATATTATATATATATATATATATATATATATATATATATATATATATATATTCAGAATAGTATATTCGAGTTGAGGAGAGAAAAATACATTAGTTTAAAAAAAAATATTCTACGTCAATTTTTAAAAAAAATTTAAATCGTCCAAAAACGAACATTTTTACTAACGATTTTTTTCTACTCGATCGATTCCTCAAAATTCTTGGTGAATCGAATCACCTGAATTTTTTTTCCCGCTGTGCGCCTTCTGGGAAAGACGGGACAGGCAAGTACTTTTTTTTCGGAGATTGAGAATTGTTGCTAAAGTTTGCGACACAGGTCGATAAATTTTACATGACTCTCTTGGGAGTGGCGTTACCCACATGATAAACTACTTTAGAAATCAAAATGTTTATTATAACATGTTGAATTGTTGCAAACGTAAAACCGACATAATTGCAATTTACTGCTAAACTAACAATCTCACGTTATTTTTTCATAGAACTGATTTTGTAGAGGGCAAGCTAATGAACAACTTTGATTCAAAAAAATTTCAAAATCCCCGTTTACAAGCAAAAAAACTCAAAAAACCGGTTTTTCTTTGTTTAAACAATTTTCCTGGCTACAAAACACGGGTTCTAGCGGGGACAAATGGAAGGCATATTCGTGGGGGTCTATACTACCTAGGAAAAAATTGGCTAAGCGCTGGTGTCTTAGAATAGAAGTCGGTCCAAATTATGGCTATTCCGACTGGACTATTTATTCCTAAATTCATTTTCAAAATTTTCAATGCCTCCGAAGATTGCGGGAACTGCAGGGTCGGGGTTTTTTTTTATCGCAGTCAGTATGAGGCCGAGCATTACTGGCACGAGCTGATATTGTACAGCTCTGAAAAGCACAACAACGGAACGTCCGGCCGCGGAATAATTGTACAATGGCATCAAATTTCGTAACTTATTAACCGGATTAACCGATCCCTCAATTTGTCAGAAGTTTTTGGGGGGTTTCATCAAGTGCAGTTAGTTATTCTTAAATTCGTTCATTGTGAATATTATGAAATGAAATTGGTGTGATTTTGTGTTACCACCGTCTGCGCAACTAAAGAATTAGTAGAGTCTTTAAAATATACGCTATTCCGGTCAAGTGAACGTGAGAACTTTATTGTAGTGTTGACTACCACAAAGAAGCTTATTAAAAAGCCAATTCGATACATTTCGTGCCAAACACTCAAAGAAACATTAGAATGCGTCACACCGACATTCTAATGGAAGAAAAAAAGATTTATATAACTATGCATTGTTCCCTTTGACTTCTCTAAAAAAATATAGATTTAAAAAAAAACAATTTGTCAATGTCAAAAAGCGAAGCGAGAGATTGACTTGGAGTTTAAAAACAAAAATATAATTTTTGAATATTTTATATGAAATAAATAACATGGTTACTTTCGGACCCGATGAAGTTGGCTTAGCCGATAATTCACCATGTGCTGGCATCAGAGCGGATCTTAAAATGTGTTTACTAAACAGTGATTGCTGTAGAAAGGTTATAAAATTTACAATTGAGCAAAACTTTTTATGCTAAAAGAGTTTTAACAAGTACATGACTTAGCTGATGGTAAGTGGCCAACTTAGCCACTTGCAATAACTTACGCCTTGCCACACTGACCCTAACACTACACCACCAAAGGGGAGTGTTATTCAAGGCTGGTATTCTTTAACTTGTGTGGTGGTTATATCCCCAGATGGTTATTCCAGTTTGATAGGAAAATCTGCAATACTTCTCTAAAATATAAACTCTTCTGTCTATAAGTAAATAAATTTTGTATTGCAGAATAAAATGACCCCACGAGAATGTCTTCGAGATGGAAATGTACCTGACGAGTGCTTACAATTAAGACAGTCATTTTTTGAATGCAAAAGATCATTGGTATGTTTCTTTACTAATTCTTATATTAGTTGAAATAATATTTTATTATATGTATCATGAAAATTGTATATTTATAACAAAATGGAATGTGAATCAAAGAAAACCATAAAAAAATACTGTTTTCAACCCCCCAATAAACTTATTACAACTCATAGGTCTGTCTACTTTGCCATAATGATGTGAAAGATATTTAAAAATTGTCATTTACAATGCCATTAATTTGCAGAAATGCTTAAATACATTATTCTTAAGATTAACCTTAGGGAACAGTTTTGTGAACATGTTAGAAAGGTGTGGTTAGAGGAGTTGAAATAAAAAAATTCAAACACAACCATCACACATTATTGTTATATCTGTATCTTGGTTTTGCAACATTTATATCTTCAGCCCTAGTCAATTATGAAGAAAGGTGTAAAATATAATTAGACGCAATCCCCATATTATTATAGACAATAAAATATATTTACTAATGAGAAATTGTGAATGAAAATCATAATAGTAACAGCTTTTCTGATAAATTAATTTAAATTCACTAAGCTGTATGCAAAACTTAGTGTTCATAACAAATTGGTCAAGACAAAAAAACTTAAGGATTTGCTCTTGTAATGTTACTCTTAATATTACTAAAGCTGCTCTTTGGTTGCATCTGAATGTCACCTATGTCCGTGATACTAATACTATTTTTTTTGCAGCTTGATAACAGAAGAAGATTTCGTGGTCACAAAGGTTACTAAATATGTATGAAGAAATTAAGTTGTGCATTAATTAGGCTAATACTTTAATTTTTTAAATATAACATGTATTATATTAATAATAATATTTTGTTGAAATAAATAGTCAGCTGTTAACACTTGTTTATCATTTATGCACTGGCTGTATGATCAAAGGTACCTAACAATTTTTAGTCCCAAAGTAAATATAAAATATTAATCCAGCCCCCATAGCATGAGCACTACAATTTAGATTATATCACGTTTTTTATCGCGTCCATAATAATAATAACATAATAAACTCCATAATAATTTGACAATTGAGAGTGATAAAAACGCGTTATATATCATATCACGGTGCTCATGCTTGGGGGGCTGGACAACTCATAACCACAACAAGCTTTATCCAATGTATGTATAATATAAATACATATTTGTGTGGTATTTGAAAAGCGCCATCTAATGTCAACAATCCACAAAAATTTAGAGTTGAAGCGATTGCTGGCACATGACATTTAGTTCTCAAACCAACCATCTACTGCAAACATCCCAAATCTTCCACCTAGTTAACATCACCCTGTTTGTTGCCAAACAGGCTTACTCATCAGAGACGTCAAATGAGTTTAGGTAATGTGTGGTCTTGCTCTATTGTCCTGTCAAAGAAAGTTGTAGAAATATAAAGTTTATTGACAACTCGGAGTACGGCCGTTAGTGTCACAGTTTGCTGGCTGCCGTAGGTGCTTGAAGTCCGAACCATTACGAGCTGCCCGAAAATTTTACGCTACCTACATACTTCACTTAAGTCATGTCCATATTAAATAAAATTTTTGGGTGAATTCGCCGAGTAGGCCTTATATTTAAAACTAGTTGACCCCACGTACTTCGTACGGGTTAAAATAATTTGGAAGAAATGACGGATCCGAGTCTACCGTACCAAAAGGGACGAACGTCAAATGTTTGACAGGAAAGAAGATAGAACAAGGTAACAATCATCGGTAGGTATGTGGCCAGCCCTAAGGGTACCACAAATACACCCACACTCTCGACATGCATTTGGGGGACTTCGTTCCTCAGCAGTGTTGCCAGGTCTCCAGATTTTACAGGAGATCTCCTGTTTTTCTGAAATTTCTCCTGTTCTACTGTTTTTCTACATGAATCTTTTGTTTTTCTTAGAATACGATTTTATTTTTTAAATTGCATGTTGAGTTGCACTTTCGGCCATTAATAATGTAGGTAACCTTATTAATTTTATAATAAATGTTATTATTGTCTAAAACAAACTAGCTTTAAGGGGCGGCAGAAGCCACAGAAACACATTCGTTACTGGTCTTTATCTTGATTTGATTTACCAATTCTAGAGGGGGAGGGGGGTGAAAATGGGAAAAAGTAGGCCTCTGTATCTACTGTTTCTCTTGTAGCTCTTCTACTGTTTTTTTCTATAACGCCACCCGATTTTTAAAAATCGGACCTGGCAACACTGTTCCTCAGAGTGCGCGTCGGGTGCAAGAGTATTGTCTCGCTTTTGGTTGGGTAGAGGCCGTATCCTTTAATCGAGCCCACGAGCTGGATGAAATGACAGAAGGAGCTCTTAGAGCCCTGTTCTCCTTTGCTCGGTGGTGAGGGGTGGAATAAAAAAAAAGGTACCTTTACTTAAGTTGAAAGAATTTGTATCCTAGATGGGTGAATGAGACTTGAGACTCGGTTTATTCGGTTGATTCCTTTGGCGCAATTTATGAACATGGCTACAAAATGAATATTGATTATTTTTCGGAACCAGCGGCCAAAAGTGATACCTATATAATAAAAGTGCTATATAAACCCAGTCTCAAGAGATAAGTACTCAAATATGACTAGGATCAAAAAATGTTTATTATTATGATTTCAGGAAAAATAAATAAACACACATATTTTTTTATTTTATTATAAAAATAATTGAAATTCAATTAAACTTTCTATTAACTATGAGCTCAGCTCGTATTGCAAACTAGCTTTTTAAGCTAATAATGAAATCGCCTAATTAGATATAATTATAAGTATTATAATAGATCAATAACGAAACTTACAAGCTAACATTCATTTTGCTCCATTTTCTTTCTTCCGTTTTCAATTCCATTGGTCTTATACAATATTTAACACAGTAGGTATATAATACAAAATAATAGTACACAATGATTGTTCTTTGATTTTTTTTAAGTTATTGCTATGTATTCTCATTTTGACAGGTACCTACTTTTGAATATTTTATGTCCAATATTTCGATTTAATTAGATTGTGGATTACAAAAGTATCTTTGTTGGCAAATAAAAATCTTATTCAAGCACATAAATAAATACCTATTTGCAGTAGTGTGAATATTTCCTTTTCATCGCGGTAATTCAACGATATTAAACATTTAATATCGTTGTGGTACCTAATTACTTGAGTTTAGGTTTTAACTCCCACGTAGGTATATATAACTATGTATATATAGCTTTACCTATTTATTAACAATAGGTTTAATTTGTAATGAAACACTTTACAACTTTAGGAAAACGTGGAACGTTTTCAATAAAATGTACTATACTATTACTAATGTGTAATGAAATCAAACTTAGGAAAACGTGGAACGTTTTCAATAAAATGTACTATACTATTACTAATGTGTAATGAAATCAAACTTATATTTGTAGTAACATTTATAAATAAAAATATACGATTTTGGATTCAGAACCAATACCATGCCAATACTAAAGAGGAACTGTAATTCTATTAAGAGTTTATTAATTAGTTATATTGCTGTAGGTTCCCACTTAAGGCAGAGGATGCCTTTGGATAACATGTTTTTAAAAATGTAACCACTAAGTTCGTAACTACCGTGATGTAACTGAGCACGAAATGAAACTATACTACTAAATCGGTAATAGTTATTTATGATATTAGTGCGGTAAGTTAGTTATTTCAAACGTGTAGATGAATATAACAACAAACCAAACACCGAGCAAATTGGCGCACAATGGAGGAGACCTATACCTAGCAGTGGGTGGATAAAGGTTGAAGAAGAAGAAGACTTTGTCTCGGGCTTATTCATTATTTATTGTGTTATCATAGTCACGAGTTTGTAATACCAATCCATACGAATGTCATACAACGTTTTTCTACACTTTGTCGAGAAAATATTATACATAATTTAAGTAATGAAGCAATTTTTTTCTAATAATAAAATGGCGCGCATTTCCAAATGGCGCCACATGCGGGTGGTGAAAATTAGAACTACATCTTTAGTCTCTTTTTTTAGTATTAAAGTGAGACATAGGTATAGACTAAAAGCGCTTTCGAGGAGGTTAGATCGTAATTTAAAAAAAAACTGTAAAGAATACGCACGGTGCCATGTAGGTATAATGTTTTCTCGCCAATGTGTAGAAAAACGTTGTATGACATTCGTGCGAATTGGTATTACAAACCCATAACCCACACATCATAAATAACTATTACGAAAGCGTAGTTAATGAGTTTAATTTCGCTCTGCACCAGTTACTCACATTCAAATGTTAAGCTGGAATTTCTATGTCAATAACTAATTGTTTACTATACTATTAATTTATTAAATCACTTCTAAATAGATTGAAAAGCGCGAAGCTATATATTTTTTTAAGTATCAAGTTTCGACGCTCTTCAAATTTTATAACCGCAAAACCTGCATGAAAATGTCTCATAATAACATAAAGTTCTTCATCATGGAAAATAATAGGTATAAGTACCTGCTTGTACGTAATTATGTTAAATTAAAAACAACTTTCAAAAAGTGCTTATATATTAAAAAAATATCTTATTTTAAGAGGAGTGATTAAGTTATATTTTTGAAGTTATATTAGTCATTGCTTTTTATTACAAATTAAAACGATAAATAGAATCTGTGCATAATATGAATAACCTATCGAAAATGTGGCACTTGCAGTTTATTACTATATCTTTAGATTTAAATGTAGGTAATAATTTATAAGCCAATTTGAATAAGTATTTTATGTGCGCCGTTACTTACATAGGTATGCATTTATTAAATTTGTAGAATTATATAATGTTTGGTCTCATACATATTTCAACTAAGTATATTTAATAATATATTATATTTAATTATTTTAATTTAATTTTTATAAGTTTTTTACTTTTAATTAGCATAGCATGTTTTTATAATTTCTTTAATTAGGTAAACGCCTTAACTTTAATTAAATTATACATATTATCGAATCCTTAAATGAGTTTTTTTTTGTAACATAAACATGCATTCTTGTAGGTAGTTATTGATAAATTTCCATCTGGTAGTTTAATTAAAATTTAATTACTAGACTTCTTACATTATACATTAGCATCGCCATTACTTAATATAAATAATTATAAGGTGGGTGTACCACAGAAGGCCATGCTGCTTTCAAGGCCAACTTTAAAAATTATAGTTATTGTCATGTGACGATAAATTCGTCACACTTATACCCGCCATACACACTACGATAAATCGTTACGATTAGACTGTACAGTCCGAACGGTACCGATAAATCGTAGCGTGTATGTTATAAAACTGCACAGTTTCCTATACTAAACGAAATCGTATAAACTGTACCGTTCGAACTGTACAGTCTGATCGTAACGATTTCTCGTAGTGTGTATGGCGGGTATTACAGTATGAACACAGACGCGGCGGCGACTCGCTCGCGTTGCTATTTTGTGATTGCGGTCTCTCGCTTTGTAAACTTTGGTCGTCGACGGTAAAATTGTAATTCGCGCGCACACCTTGAGTGAGGTAAATTTATATTTTTTATTATTTTTAAAGCATGTAATTGCTTGATGTTTAAATCTAAAGAAAATATAACTAGACAAAATTCCTCCACGCGGACCAGGCAGCAGACGGGGGGTTACCTATAATGCGAAGAGATGGCGCTGCCATGCAGCTTAAGAATGGCTAGAAGAATTTCGACGCGGTCCGTCCGATTGCGAAGGCTGCGGGTTCGAGTCCCGTCTGCTGCCTGGTCCGCGTGGAATTTTTTCTAGTAATATTTTCTTACGGTAAATTTGTTATGTAAATAACCTATTATTGCCTTATTTTTTACGGTAAATTGTCATATAAGTTTTGTTATGGTACTCAAGAAAATAATAATAATTTTGCTTCGATTTCAGTTATAATATCGGTAGTGTCCTAAGAAAGTCGGTAGTTCCTTATAAGGCCAATCAAAAATTTGACGGTTGGCCTTGCTAGGGTAGGTATATGGACCTTACTAAGAACATTTAGAAATCATGGAAATATAAACACTCAGTTTATGGTTATAAACACGTACCGTAACAGTTTTATGTTTTAATATTATTATTTATAAGGGTTATTCAACTTAACCTTCTTAGGAACATTTTGGCCTTACAAAGAACGGACCTATAAAAAGGCCATTTTGTTATATATTGTCTCATTCCAAAAAACATTGGCAAATTATTTGTTATTGATTTAATGCTCAAAACTATATTATTTTAATAATGTTCATTAATATATTCTTCTTTATTTGATAGTGTTCAAAAAATGTTCTTTGAGTTTTTTTAAAGAAGATTATAATCTGTTAAGCATTAAATATTTCGTTTAAATGAAAAAGCTTTTTATGGAGTTTTAATAAAAGCGGATATTGTGATAATAACAACTCTAGTTTTAAGTTGAACATCTGATTTATAGTATTGGCCTTGTATAGAGACCTGTTCCTAGTAAGGCCGTTTGGAAGATCTTAATGATTTGATAAATAAATAGTGATTACATTTAAGTTAAAAAAAGTAATTTATATGTTACACAATAAAACAAAGTGTTAATTAATAATTTGTTTCTTACATTAAACCAGTAAATGAACTAATAAAAACTGTTTATTCGTTAGAGTGGCCTTCCATGGTCCACGCACCTTATATGCAGTATCTCTTTATTTATTACATCGTATAGCTGTCTACCTACATCCTTTTTTAAACTTAACGGCATTTAGAAAATAAGATTACCTACACCTGAAATGGCACTTTTCGTATTCACTGCGTTTAAGGTCTTTCAAAAGCTGCTTCAGTTTAGCTATAATAAATATATTAATAAAGGTATTGAGAGAGAGAGTGAATACTCTATAGAGGATAGGGATGATATGTATCACAAGATATGTAATGAACTACTTGAACGTTGGATAAATGTCAGAGAAAATTATAATTTGTACTGTCCACATAAGGAAGACGATTTCATCAACTTCTCACAAAGGCCTTATTCTCTCTATCCTTGTCGCTTTTACTGGCAGAAATAATGTGCGAGAAGGACAGAATATCATACGTCGCCATTTTAGATTCCTTTCTTTATTGACGCGGGGATACAAACAAATCTTTTAAATACGATGCTTCAAAACAAATAGGTTAAACCAAAAGAACTAACGAACGAACGAACGAAGATAACCATGTAAATCAAAAGACATTTAAAATCTTTCTTTCACATTGTTCACCTTTACAACTCGCGTTTTTGTAGAATACAGTCTTTGTGAGTACTTCTACTGACTGACTGACTGACTTTTCAAAAGGTTATAATTACAATAATACCTACATAAAAAATATACATAACATGTTACAATACAACTAATTAAAGACAAGTAGACAAAGTTCTACGCTTTTAGGCATAAATCGCTTGACTCTCTATCTTGACATTTTCTTTAGGTTCTTAAATATTTTTTCATACAAAGCGTAGCAAATCACCCCACCCCATCCAAGTAGTCCAGACGCTAAGATAGAATTGCTGAAACGGCAGAAAATTATGGCATTTCAGCCATCCTGACCTTACCGGACTGAACCCTACCCCTACCCCCGTAGAACTTTGGAAAATACGCTTCTTCTTAATATTAACATCGAAATCAAGTTAATATAGCCGAACAATATGCCGATCATCTACTTTCTTTGACAAAATATTACTAAAGTATAAATATGATTAGATAAATCTTATTAATTCTGTTAATTGAATACATATTGGAAAATCTTATCCATTAATACTGACAATGTAGGTAACTAGTGTTACAATAAACATTTCATCGACGTTTTGTTTCGAGAACTCTGATTCATCCATTTATTAAAGCTTTAAATCTAGAACAAGCAATTCTACCGCACATAATGAAAATTACTGTTAATGAACACGTGATTATAGAATAAACTCGAAGAACACGCTTGCTAGAAACACTCTCCCGTCCAATCAAACATTTTACGCTTTTACCATTATATAAGTATTATTAGTTTGGTCCATTATACGTTCAATGAACATAATAACCAGATTTCAATTTCATCTCACGCAAAGGATCCACGATCACGATTCAATTTTGTGCAATAATTTCTTAACCAATGCAGCAAGGAGAGATCCTTAAATTTTCAACTATATCTAAAGCATACGCATTACAAACGTTCTCATTTTAATCATCAAACTGTGAGCGTTAAAAAAAGCATAAACAGTAATGGTCCGACATTAGATCCTTGTGGAACTACAAAACAACACAAAGGCCTGCTCGGGCCTGGTCCCTCTACTAGAAAGTCTGTATGGGGCGGTAGAGGCCGGTGTACCCGCAGAGGCGCGCCCTTAAAGCTGTTACCAACATGGCAGCACCCGACAAGTCGTCCAACAAGTTGGCACACTCGCAGACCAACAGGTACATCTTATCGCCGTGTGAGGCTACAGACTTGTGTAAAGCGATCTTCCTCATGCCCACTGAATGTGGTAGATGCCTATATAGCATGCGAGCACCAGTCCAGTACAGCCAGTTCCTTTCGAAGCGTTCCCCATCATCACCTTCGAATACCTGGAAACATGCGATAGATGTATTGTCTAAAGGACATCGACGAAATCGGCCCTAGCATGCCCAAAAGAATGTCCTTCACTATTATTTTTCTATTATTTTTTTAACTTATTAGCAATTAATCATAGTAAACGGACAATCTGTTTAAAAATTAAAAGTTCTGTTACTAGATACTACAGTCTGTTCATCCAACTTGGCACTCCTTTTTATTGAAAATACAGCATTAAAAATCAACTGATAACTGGATTCAATAGGTTTCAGTCTATAATAACGATTTATTTTAATAGTTTATTGGCTTCGTTAATATTTTATTATTAAATGGGTGATTCTGTTAAAAAGTTGTGCCAAGATTGTTTACCTTAGTAATGCAATATAGGCGACCATAGGTATTTATCAACATAAAAATAGAACTAGGTACCTTAGTTAATAATACTTATTACTAGTATTTCTATTATATTTATGAAAAGATTATTTCTGAAATTATCTAAAGATAGTTTATACTCCCATCCCATGTAATATCTGTTTATTTTTATGAAAATCATAATGATAACCAAGTACATACCTAATTACCGATAGTAAACTGTAGGAACAGGTAAATGGAAAGACTGAACATTTCATTTGAAAAGAAATCTATCATTACTTACTACAGGTATCATAGGTACCAACTGACAACACTCATAAATCAATATGAATATAAGCATTTATTATTTTTATTATTAATTGCATTTTATGTTCATTTAATGCATATTATTTAAGTGCTTACATAGAGGTAAACACTAAATCTATTCAGAATATATAAAGTGTACATCTTTTATGATTAAGTATAATAATTATAACCTCAAAATCTAATACATTCTGTAGTAGGCCACGGTTCCTCAAGTTGTCCGTATCTCAACAAATGCTTATTTAGAGTTTATGAATGATTCCGAACACAACTAGCATTTTCTCATTGCTGGGCGTTCTAGGGCATTCAATGTATGGGGAACGAGCAATGTCCTTTAGAGGTTGTACGATTGCTTGCGTGAAGCGTTTATCAATTACTGATGGTCAATTTTTGCTGTTCCTATATTTTTCAAGATCTTAACAAATGACTCCATCTCAGAGCTTGGTCAGTTCTTTTGGTGAACAGCAATGTGGTAAACTTTGGTTCGTATTGGAATGTAGCTATTAGAATCTTAATAGAAAAGAAAACATTTTTATTACGTTTTTCAATAAAATAACACAAAAGTTGCATAAAAATTATGTTAGTTAGCGTTAAATATAAATACCCAAGCATTTGCCAATTTGTATATGCTTACCTTATAAACACTTATTATGAAACCAGTAGTGGGTGTATGAGATTTCTTCGGTCCTCCAGCCAGATCACTGAAGGGTGGTCTGCAAATCATCGCCACCTCGCTGTACAGGTCGAGAGTGTGCGCGGCGGAGTATCTCATTGCCTTCGGGTCAAACTTGGTGAGGGAAGCACTTCGCATGTTATTATAGAATAGTAAAGGATCTGTCTGTGTTGTATTTATCACATAATACGATATGAACGGAAATTCCGCGTTCTTCTCCATGTTGGCCAGCAACATTCCTCCGACCGCTGTGTTTGCTTGCGCCACATCATTCAATAGCTCGCCAGCCGCCATCTTTTGTTTAATTAGAGGTTTGGCCAGAGGAGATTCTAGTATAGGCTCTATTGGTTCTAGTGGACTCATGAGATGGGCTAAAATACACAGTTTAGGATCAGCTACTTCAAGTATGCTTAACGAGCTCTGCACCATCTTTGTCATTCCTCCCTTTTCGGGTGTTGGCGGTGGCACTGGCAGCTGGAACCAGATACAAAATATTATTATTTTTAATGTAGACGGTTCAATCCAATATCAAAGAAATTAATTCAACAGGCACGTAAAAGTAACAAAAAGCAAGCTTAGAATCCCAAAGATAAATGTTGCTAGTAGCTATTAAGCTGATTTTGAAAAACAACTGACTAAAACAAATGTTATTTGCTGTTCTCTTTTCTGTAATGATCGAATTCAGGTGAAGGGACAGTCCCAGCGCGTGAGATACACCGGCAAATCCTGATGTGTAGTGAATGTGGAGATATGAGTCAACGTACCGGAACACCATCGGGCAAGAAGCGGTCGAGCGCATGGGCCGGTATGACAAAGCAGTCCCTCTCCAAGGTGGCGAGAGACACGGGTTCGGTGCGGCGGCGGTCGGCGGCGGTATGTGATGTAGGGCGGTCCCAGCGCATGAGGGAGACGGACGGCTCGCGCGTCACCAGCGGCTGCGGCGGCTCCGGCTCCGGCCCCGTGCCCCCGCCCAGCACCGGCCCACATCGTTCTGTAAACACGGGCAAACTTTATGTTACTTCATATCGAGGTAAATCGTTTGCCGCAGGATGGCACCATTGTTTAGTTGGATGTTTCCCGCAACTTTACAGAGAGCTTAGCACCTTACCACCAAGAAAATCCTAAATTCGGAACAACCACAATCTATTAAAGTTGCGAATAAATAGGATTATTTGTTGTCGCCCTTATATTCAGCTTATTTGGACTACAGTTTACCTGTTATACTGCGAACCCAGTTAAGAAAGTTATGATATGGTATCAAAGGTGGTATTAAGGTGATCGCACATATATCAGCACAGTACGCGCTGCACACGTCGCATTTCCTTGAGTCTGAAGAAATGTAGCGCGTACGGCGCGTGCGATGCGAGTTGCGGAAAAATGTGCGATCAGCTTTACAGAATGATCGCTTCCACAGCAAGGTTTAGCTAAGCTATGTATTTAAAAGAAAGAAGATTTGATTGATGTGTTTTAAAAATTAAGTACTTTATTAAGCTTTTTCACAAATAGTTGTATACTCTACCTTATATAGCAGCATATTTAATACCAGTTGTTGACTGAACAGATTGCGCGTTGTTTTTTACAAAGTTAGATACAGTTTCAATTAAAAAGAAGAGAAAGATTTACAAATAAGTGTTATAGTACTTCTTTTAACGCCTAAAACAAGAAAGGAACACAAAAACACCTGTGGCTGTGTCCTGTTTAAAGCCACGAGTTATTTTAAACCAACATAACGGAAAAAAACCTGTCATAAAACTTATAAATTAATACAGTAATTAATAGTTTTATTAATTATTATAATAATTGAAATGTTACATCGCTAGTCGTTAGAGTTTCATTTGAAGTTCAAACAGCGACAAATAGTTAAAAGTTACATCTGAAGTTTTAAACACGAACATAGAAAAAAGTATAAACATTATATTTACGTATATCCACGTGTGATGGTGTGTTTGTGTTTCCTTTCAGCTTCGCTGAAATAGAAGTGTTTGACTGTTCAATCGTGACACATCAAAATATGCAATGCAGTCGTAACCGGCTCGTTTTAGTTTTAGCCGCTTATATCTTGCAGTACGCATTTTACATTTAAACCGCTTTAATACATAAAATAAACAATCATTAACAGCGTTCATCAATTTTACGCTTACGCTGTCAGTGTCGGCCGGCTGTCATGTTACGTATTTATAACTTTTGACGGCATCACACCTGTTAGCTGTGCCGATATAACGAGCGAAGGTTAAACGGAAACGTTTTTGTAACGTCCAACATTGACGTGTTACGTGCTTTAGACAAGTTTATTGGAACCATTCTTGAAAGGTAACAAAGTTTGAGGTGTTGACAAAGAACAAAGTTTTTGTTTACTGTGATTTTCGCGCGCTACTACGCACGTACGCTACGTCACTCACTAGCACACTGTCACTTTACCTGTGCCATCGTTGTATTGAGTGCTCGAGCGGGGCGCCGCTGATAGGAACAGGTGTGTTTTGAGCGTCTTGTAGTGATTATCCTCCATGAAGGAGTAGCGGTCGCGTTCGCGCCGTTTGGCATTCCTTCCTGCACCGAGTGCCCCGCGCGCCTTGCCCCCTCCCCCGCTGCTGCCGATAGTCTTCTCCGTACTGAAGTTCTTCCGAAACATCAAATTCATCTTGGAAGATTGCCACCTACTTCGCTGTCTCGCTTGCACCGATACACCCGATATAGGTCAGCTCCGCTCTAATGTTATGTCTGACACAGTAATTAGTTCACTCGTGCCCGCCAAGAAATTAAGCTCGGCTATATTCAGAGATTTCTCGTCTCTTTCCACCTAATGAGCTGATCTATGGATTTGTTTTAGTTTTGTTTCACTTTCTTTGGCTCGAACTGGAGCATTAACGATAGGTTTAACGGATGCGAAGAGATACCGACAGACGATAATATTAATATGTACGAATAAAAAAATATTTTGATACCAAAATAAATCGTGTGATTAACTTAAATTAAATACCTACCTGGAGCCACCTGAACCCATTACTATAAAATGTTTTTAAAGTAGACACTGAAATTAGTTAGTTTTATTTTTATTTTTTTAAGTTGTTATTTACAATTAATAACCGATGTCTGTACATACAAGAAGTATAGTCTTGTTAGTTGCTTTCGATAAATAATAGGTAGATACTTACTATAACGAGTATTAGATATACACGTAGAAAAGCTTAGACGTTTCTAAAAACCTATGTAATATTCAAGCCTGATCGATTTGTTGGTAGAAGTAGTATTTTGTATAAACACTAGCCTTTTGAGTCCATGAGAATAAGAAGGAATATGCTTAAGCAAGTATAGGAAGAAACTTAGTCATCATCATCAGCCTATTAATGTCCCCACTGCTGGGGCACAGGCCTTCCCTATGGATGGATGGAATAGGGAGATTGGGCCATGACCCACCACGCGGGCCCAGTGCGGATTGGAGGGTGCTAACGACTGCAGATGCAGCCGGGACCAACGGCTTAACGTGCCTTCCGAAGCACGGAGGAGCTCGAGATAGTAATTTTTGGTCACCCATCCAATGACCGACCACTGCGAAAGTTGCTTGAAAACCTTTAGGCAAGAGATTGGCAACCTATCACTATATTTCTCGATAATCGACAACATAGTATAGGCATAACCGATATGAAATATGGCAATGCGTCGTTGAAGTGTGGTTATGGAAGTAAAGTTAAATACCAATGTTTATTATTTCTAAGCTGTAGTAGTTTTTTTTGGGCTTGTATTACGAGTATATTTAAAACCTGTGAAAAGATATCTTACTAATGGCGCATAAAAAATTGTTTCGTAGCCATGAAGGAATTAGTGGATATCCTACTTTTCTTTATTATGATTGTTTAGTTACATGCATTTTACCTGGCTAACGTTTCCGTACCTTTTATACATATTCTTCCAATTTTTATGGTCCTAAAGCTTCGTTTATTGTATGTCATAATCAATTAAAAATATTATTTCAGTGCCTTCAAAATCTCTTCAGTTTCAGTGGCCTATCGAGTGACAATAATGATTTGAGCTGAGTGAGTATCATTTGAAACTTCGACAACTGACGCTCAGAGAATGGCCCTTGAATTAGGACGACCGTTACCTTTCGTTAATGAACTGCTCTAGTGTATGGTCACTATATGTAATTGTCTGTGTCTAGTGTTACTTATACGACGATACTACATAAGTAACTTCAATGTCTTAAATAACATTACAATGTTTCTTAAGAAAAAGATAACAAAATGTACTTTGCAAGTAAGTAAATCCATTTTCAACATTAGATGTAATATATGTTCGAAAGATGGGAAATATAGAGATTTTCTATTGCAGAAACATCATTTTCTGCAAAAAAAAACCTATAATTAATTACCCAGGCTCTTAAAGATATCGACGCCACGTGTCACCCTGCGTAGTGAAAATGCATAAATCTTCTCGGAGGCCACAGACACGTTGCAGATATACGCTATAATAATGTAGGGCGTGCTCCAGTGAGTTTATGAGATTCGCGCAGACTATAAGTAGGTACGAAAATAAATCCGCCTATCATGGTTGTTGAGCCTAACGAAATAGGCTAATAAAATACCACAGCGAGGAAGTATCACAGGCTTCACGGGCGACTGACTTTCTACGTAGAGGACACGACTTGGCATTTACCTTAAAGACCAGCAGCATTATGGTAATAGAATTATGTATTGTTAACCTTGTAAGTGGTAAGGTTAGTCGTAACGATAAATGTAATGCGGTTGCCTGGATGGATACAGCTTCTGCCGCTAATCGCGAACTTTGTGTGTGTGATGTTCAGAATAATGTTACGCCTTTCACCAGGAGAGTTTTGTTTATATGTATGTTGATCCGGTGTGTCAAAGGACAATGGGCAAAACACACCCAGCTCCGCCAACAACGTAATTGGTATGAATCGATAGATCTATGAAAAACTAGTCTTTTTTATTATGGCATCGAAAAAATATCCTGGTAGTCAAAAGATATGACACCGTAAAAAATATCGTGGTAGTCAAAAGATATGACACATGGGCATATTAAAGTAGCTAAATAAATTCATTTTATAGTACCTTCATTTTATATTATTATTATTAGTAACCATAATAATATGCCATCTCGTACTATACAACCAGATATACGACAAAGCTTGCCGACAATCCTGCGCTTGCACTTACTGAGACACCTTAAAACGGTTTACGGGGGTTGAAGGACTTGCAGTTGCAAATTGCAAATAGTCGACTCGTCTTACTTCGTTGTGATTATGCGCTTCCTGTCACTCGATTGATTTTTATCTCACGATTATCGGTTTTGTCAATTAGTATGGATGAACTAGAATCATGTTTTCTCCGAAGCGTGGACAAGTTTGTGTGATTTGAGGTCGCTCCGTTTTACATAGAAGACAATTTACTATAAGGAACAGACTGTTTGAAAAAACCCCAACCCATACGGGGATTTTTGGATTTACTCTAGCGCGGCAGAATAACATAAGGGGACACCCTTGCAGCTTGTGAAGTACTCTCATAATACCTGAGCCCTCTATACAGGGTCGAACTAACAAACTAAATTAATTCCCTAGTTTCATTAATGTTCGTTCATTATAGTACTTGTACCTATTTAACTTAAAATAACTAAAGACCCCCGTGATGGAATTTGATGCGCTTTGGCACAGATGATCATGACTTTAATATCTTTCCAAAAAATGAAGTTTAAGCCGTGGCGGACGTAGGGTGCAGCGTCCATACATTTTTGCCCATTGTCCATCCAAATTACTTTAAAGTGATAGAATAAAACAAAACATTAAAATATATTGCGACAAATAATCCATTGTTAGCTTTATCTACAGTTAAGTAAGTGCTAATCTAACGCGAGTTCGAAGTTACCAAGGAGTTCACGGTATTAGTAGTAATAAATTAGACAGTAGAATCAAATAGATCTTTTTTCCGTTCTGATAGATCAGTTGAACTAGATAGAGCACGCGCTTAGTAGGTAAAGTTGTTTGTGCGATTTTGGTGTGATTGTTTAAGGACGGTTATAAGCAAGTTCATTGCATTTAGTATAGTTTGTCAATTGTGTATTTAAAACGAAATCAGAAAACGGCATCGAAAAAAAACAGACGTACCTACATTATACGGCTGTTATTACAAAAATTACGCTTAACCAAGTTTTTATACTAGTCGATGTTTTCTAAATTATTGTAACTACTTAAGACATTGTTACTATCAGTAATAGCTATTATGATAGCAGATTCACTGAATCGTCAAAGCTTAATGCCTGTCATCGCAAAGTTTTCGAGAACTTCCAACAGATGCCCGGGATGCGGAGTAGGTAATTGACTTTGAACCGACTCATGGTCCAATAAACTTGAGTGCATGTCTGAGCAGCATATGGAGTTATGCATTTCTAGAATGATGTGTTTGTGGGTAGTAACCGCGCCAGCTTTGTGTTTTTAATGTCCTGACTACTTGTGTTTTAGCAGTCATAATTACCCAGTTATACTAACTACAAATTTAGTGATTTTTGTGTATATGTTGCTTCTTCTGCTAAATACTGATAAGTTTCTTGCGCCCATTCCTCTTATGAGCTAAACGATGTCCAGAATGGGTGGTAGGACAAAATATGGGACACTTTAAAAGAGTTTTGAATAAGTCAATTTAAGTAAAGTTTTTCTTCATTTCATTTCATAGTCGTACTATATAATTTGGTTATCATTAAGAGAGACAAATCAATTATAAAATTGTTAAAGATAGTTATATATACATATTTTAAGCATTTAACTGCTAGATGTTTAAATCTAAAGAAAATTAGTATGGCTTCTTAAATGACGTTTATCCTTACATAATGTTAACTGCACAAGTCTATAGAGAATGAACTGGTTAGGCAAAAACTACCCTACTTATGAGTTTTTATTATTATTATTATGTATAATAATTAATTATATCTTAGGTCCGCTCTAATGACTTGGCCAAAAACAAGCCGATATTAGACTTGAGGACAGCTGGTGCGGCAGTTTTACCTGCTACCCGCTGGTCTGCAAGTTCCTTCTTCGTATTGACCCTGATAGTCAAAATACAGCCTTGTTTTATCAGGTAAACTACGCTGCGTATGTTTAACTTTAATGGGTTATACCATTTACAGAAACTATCCCTTTACCTATTTGGACCAGAGTGTTGATATTTTTGAAAACATAAAAAAAACGAGCGAGCCTTACAGTAGTCGCGTATGATGAGTATAGATAACATTTGAAACCTCGTCTTGTATTAGTAAAAAAAGAATTACAACCTACTACAAAAGGAATAAACCATTTGAACATTATGTTCTAAAATCAAATCAAATAGCGCGCGCTTTCGCAACTTCCTGTTACACACTTCCGTCCAATTCCACGAAATCACTTCCACAAATTACAGGAAATCGAGAGGAAAGATGTTACACATCTTTAGCGGGGAACTAGAGTGTGCAAGCCTAGCCGAAGTCACATAAAACTTCTGATTTAGGACCCTGCCGCTGCCGTGCTGGCGACGCCGCACCGTGCGACCCCTAGGCGTGTTAATTATGTTACTTTAATATCAACCAGTGTGTAATATACCTAACATTTCCTTATTTCATTGAATGCTATGCAGGCGTTTACGTGCCCTGAGGGAATCTGATCTTATTAGCTGTACGGTTTTGACGATAGTAAAAATGCTATAATTTTTTTTGTAGAGTATTGAAAAAAATAGATTTTACTTGAAAGATTCTGTTTATTCTTTGTAGTTTAAGATGGCATAATTTAACTTTTGAAACGAAGTTATTTTTTGTATGGTACGGACTTGGCGAACAGTTATTTTGTAACGTATTTGTGTGTAATTGTG